CTCTCTCTCTCTCTCTCTCTCTCTCTCTCTCTCTCTCTCTCTCTCTCTCTCTCTCTCTCCTCCTCCTCTCTCTCTCTCTCTCTCTCTCTCTCTCTCTCTCTTATATAGCATCTAGACAGCTATTGTTTCTTTTTTGGTTTTGGTAGCACTGTTTGAAAAGTTTTGTTCATGACAATGAGTCCCAGTCACTGATCTTTATATACTAACTAGAATTAATATATAGAGATCAATGACCCCAGTTCATAACAAAACCACGGCCTCACCGGCTGTTCTCTTGTTTTACGTGCCGCTGTCGTCGTGATGACGTCACGGCAGACCCGATCACGCCTATGTACGTGGTGCCGGACGCGTGCGGCCGCCGCAGCCAATACCCGATGAACCTGACCGTAGATGCACCCGCAGTTCGCGTCACCTTCATGAAGAACAGATACCAGGAGTTCCCGCTGTTCACGGTGAGGGTGCTGCGAGCGCGTCTGTCTGTCGCGCGCATGCGCAGATTGGGTCGCGTGTGGGCAACCAATGAGCTGCTTCGCGCTGTCAGTAGTGGAACCATAGAAATATTGAGAGACACTAGTTTAACTCGTAAATTATTTCTGTGAGTAGAACGAATAGTGGAGCGATCGAAAAGGAAGCGAAATATGGTTATATGTTATATGACTTGTTATATTAAACTTGTTATGTTATATGCTGGTGCGACGTGATGCGCTGCTTCGCGCTGACAGCAGATGAAAGGTACGGGGATCGAAAAGGAAGCGAAATATAGTTATATGTTGAGTAATTTTCATGTTGATGCCACGTGTTTCGGACAGTGTAGATCGGCTGTGAATTATTTCGTGAATTACTCTTTTTAGGCTATGATTTACTGTGTGGACTTTATGAGAAGGTATAGATTGGTTGTAAAAAGGAGAACCGTTATTGAGCACGCGTGGCCGGGATAAAAGAAAATGAGATTTAGCTATTTCTTTGCAACAATGCTTCGTTTTTTGGTTGCACAACACGCGCATTCTTAATACCTCCTGCGGAAACACTTGCTAATAGAAGAAATGGCAAGGAATTAGGGTGTGGGGGTTGACTAATGCTCTAAATTCCCACTGCGCAGGCGCACTACTTCGCTCTGGATGAGGATGGAGTCATCGTCGAAGACAGCAGAGAAACAAGCCGCAACAAGCTTGGAGGCGACGGACTCAATGGTGAGAGTAGTCATAACGTTGCCGGCCACTAGATGGCATTTTAAGCCAGGCGCCCATTAGCAACCCTGCTACAACCAATCAGGGAGCGACTTGCGGCAACATTCCCCAAAGCTTACGTATAACTGAACAAATGAATGAATGAATGAATGAATCAGTAAATAAATAAATAAATAGATTGATAAATAAATAAATAAATAAATAAATAAAACAAATGAATAAATATATAAATAACTAAATAACTAACGAAATAAATAAATAAATAAATAAGTAAATAAAAATTCAAGCTCATCAAGATCAGAATAAACTATACAACGCTAATACAAGCTACACACCAATGTATTCTATAAGGACTCTGGTCGGAGTGGACAGCGTGGTCGGACTGCTCGGTCAGCTGTGGTCAGGGCAGCCGGACGCGACGGCGGAACTGCCTGACGACAGAGTGCCACGACACCTGCATGCCCGGAGTGCCCGAATGCGTGCACGTCTGCTACAATGACAGCTGCGTAGGTGGCGCCACCGACTACGAGAGCTGCTTCGCGGGACAGTGTCCGTCAGGTGGGTTATCATGGTAACGTCGTGTTGTCGTCAATTTTGTATTTTTTTAATAGCGCTTCTTATTATTTGTGGTGTCTTGAAAATGGCAATTTTTGCAGTCTCAAGATGTTACCTGTGCACAATAGAAAGCGTTACTGTTACTGCTTGAGGATATGCTCTTAAATAATAATAATTGCACTAATGAAATTGTTTGGCATTTAGCTATCGAGTTCATGATCAAGCCCCACAATGCAACAGTGCGGGTTGGCGACGTACACACGTTCGAGTGTCTAACGAATAGACCGACGACCATAAAATGGTGAGCATCCCCCACATGTCGGCTCTGTGAAAACAGTTAGTTGGGGACACGCGATAGAAAAGGAAACGGAGAGAGAGAGCGAGAGAGAGAGAGAGAGAGAGAGAGAAAGAATGATAGAGAGAGAGAAAGACAGAGGCAGAGAGAGAGAGAGAGAGAGAAAAAGAGAGAGAGAGAGAGAGAGAGAGAGAGAGAGAGAGAGAGAGAGAGAGAGAGAGAGAGAGAGAGAGAGAGAGAGAGAGAGAGAGAGAGAGAGAGAGAGAGAGAGAGAGAGAGAGAGAGAGAAAGAGAGGGAGAGAGCGAGAGAGAAAGAGAGAGAAAGAGAGATTGAGAGAGAGAGAGAGAGAGAGATTGAGAAGAAGAGAGAGCCAGAGAAAGAAAGAGAAGAGAGACAGGAGGATATCTAGCAGTCATGACCAGCAATTCCTAGCAGCACGTGCATAGATAACACGGGATTACTCCTGCAGGTTGAAGGATGACGTACACATTGTCAACCCATCCAAACACAACGCTGTCATCAGACCGCCCGGACACTTGCTCATCCTACTAGGGGTACGCTGTCACCAGGGGCCGTTGTCAGAAACAAAATGAGTCCTAACATTGGTCTTAGCATGAACTATATTTCTTGTAGACCGTTGACACGTGTTGATAGCAGGGCCGTAGCGGGGGGAGGGGGCAAGGGGGGGCAGCTGCCCCCTAGATTTTGGAGCAAAATTTAAAAAATGTTTTACTAAAAGAGAATTGTCGTAGGCAGAATGAAGTCTGTACATGTACTCAAAGGTGCCTCAAATACCATTTCCTGCGATCTACATTTTCAAAATTTTCTGTGTAAGAACCCCCAGACTCCCCACCTGTTTCTCACCCCCTCCTTGAAATCCTGGATCCGCCACTGCCCCCCTAGGAATTTGCTCAGCCTACGGCCCAGGGCTGTCACCAGAGACCCGCTGTTAGAAACACAATTACTCCTTAATTCCCTCTTCCAGTTAATTTAATCCAAAAACATTGGTCTTAAAATTAGTCTTAACACTACCTTTTAACGTAAACCGTTGACATAAGCAAAATTAATTCTACCATTAGTCTTGACATGAACTTTTTATCGTAGACCGTTGATAGAAATATAATTAGTCATAACATTGGCCTTAACATTAACATTTTAACGTAGACTTTTGACAGAAACAAAATTGGTCTTAAGAATAGTCTTAACATTAACTTTTAATCGCAGATCGTTAAGATACACAAAATTAATCTTAAACTAACGTCGTAATTACAATTTCAATTAACAGAAAACTTATTCACTCGTGTAGCTGGAGATATACATCTTTCCCTTTCTCCCCTTCAGTCAGTGAGCGTGCTCTGTGTTGTTTTGACTTGGAATAAACACCCCCGTTCTCCCCCTTCAGTTAGTGAGCGTGCTCGGTGCTCTGTTAACTTGGAATAAACACCCCCGTTCTCCCCCTTCAGTTAGTGAGCGTGCTCTGTGCTCTGTTAACTTGGAATAAACACTCCCGTTCTCCCCCTTCAGTTAGTGAGCGTGCTCGGTGCTCTGTTAACTTGGAATAAACACCCCCGTTCTCCTCCTTCAGTTAGTGAGCGTGCTCTATGTTGTGTTAACTTGGAATAAACACCCCCGTTCTCCTCCTTCAGTTAGTGAGCGTGCTCTGTTCTGTGTTAACTTGTAATAAACACTCCCGTTCTCCCCCTTCAGTTAGTGAGCGTGCTCTGTTCTGTGTTAACTTGTAATAAACACTCCCGTTCTCCCCCTTCAGTTAGTGAGCGTGCTCTGTTCTGTGTTAACTTGGAATAAACACCCCCGTTTTCCCCCTTCCGTTAGTGAGCGTGCTCTGTGCTCTGTTAACTTGGAATAAACACTCCCGTTCTCCCCCTTTAGTTAGTGAGGCTGTAGGGGTCGTTGTCGTATAGGGTACTACATCTATGTACCCGAGGCAACTATCTGATATGGTTAGGGCTAGGGTTAGGGTTAGAGTTATAGTTAGGGTTAGGCTTAGGGTTAGGGAGTAGGCGTAGGCGACTCCCTAGACTAGCATTAGATTACATTTATGTATACATATATGTAGTACCCTATACGACAACGACGCCTTCAGCGTCAGTGAGCGTGCTCTATGTTGTGTTTTTAGGCGGAGATGTCGCAGACAGGTAAATACACGTGCTTGGCCGTAGCTGAGTACGGAATCGCCGTGACGACGGCCTGGTTGTCCGTACTAGCAGACACGGACGACTGCAGCGTCGGTAGGTTAGCTCACATCCTCCTCTCTCCCTCACCCTTCTCCTCCCTAGCTCTTCCACCTCCTTCTCCTCCCTCCCGCCATCACCAACACTAACGCCATCATCAACACTAGTGCCATCACCAACACTAACGCCATCGCTAAATGTGACATTTAATTTGAAGTATTAAATAAATAAATAAAATCATATTCAATAAATCGTCTATCCATATCAGATCTATATGCCAAATAATTTAGAACAAATTGTCTATTGTCGTCGTCGGCAGAGTTTGACAGTGTTCCCGTTGACGCCGACGTCGACGCTGGCGACCTGCACGTTATAGAGTGCGCCACCATCGAGCCGGCGTCGTCCATCTCGTGGTTGAAGGACGGAGAGCGTCTGCTGATCGGCGGACGCGTGAACCTGGCCAGCGAGGGCTTACTCATGCTGCAGGTGAGCGCGCGGGGGGACCCCGTGACGTAGCAGGCGTCTGCAGGACGCTGCGCGCCATCTAGCGACTGCAATTTACAATTACGCTGGTCTTGCGTACTCTTTCTATGTCTCCTTCCTTCTCTCTCTCTCTCTCTCTCTCTCTCTCACATTTCCTCTCGTGCGTACGTTTTCTCCCTTTTTCTGTCTCTTTCTATCTCTCTTTC